AGTTGATCTATAGATTTTATATAACCCCTATCAAAATCCCAGCTGTCTTTTTTTTTTTTTCTTTTGGCAGAATTTGACCTTAAATTTATATGGAACTGTAAAAGACCTAGAATAGTTAAAACAGTCTTGAAAAAGAACAAAGTTGGAGGACTCACGCTTCCCATTTTTAAAACGTACTACAAAGCTACACTAATCAAAATAGTGTGGTACTGACATACGGACTGACATACAGATTAATGGAATAGGATTGAGTGTCCAGAAATAAACCTCTACGTTTATAGTCAATTATTTTTTGACAAGAGTACCAGGTAATTCAATGGGGACAGAATAGTCCTTTTAATAAATGATGTTGGAACAACTGGATAGGTGCATGCAAAGTAATGAAGTTGGGCCCCTACCTCACACCATATGCAAAAATGAACTCCAACTAGATTAAAGACCTAAAAGTAAGAGCTAAAACTGCAAAGCTCTTAGGAAACAAAGGGCTATGTATGAGCTTGGGTTAGACAAAGATTTCTTATGTACAATACCAAAGGCACAACTGATAAAAGAAAAAGATAAACCAGACTTCATCAAAATTAAAAACTTTTGTTGTTTCAAAAGACACCATCATGAAAGTTAAAACAACTCACAAAATAGGAGAATATACTTGCAAATATTTGTAGATATAGCACATATTTGATAATGGGACTTTATTTTTATTTTTTTTTAAGATTTTATTTATTTATTTGAGAGAGAGAGAATGAGAGAGAGTGCACATGAGAGGCAGGCAGGTCAGAGGGAGAAGCAGACTCCCCGCTGAGCAGGGAGCCTGATGAGGGGCTCGATCCAGGGACTCCAGGATCATGACCTGAGCCAAAGGCAGTCGCTTAACCAACTGAGCCACCCAGGCACCTGATAATGGGACTTTAATCCAAAATATGTAACAAACACAATTCAGTAAGACAACCCAAGTAAGCAATAGGCAAAAGATTTGAAAAGACAATTTACCAAAGATATATGAATGACTAATAAGCTCATGAAATGTTCAAAATCACTAGTCATTAGGAAAATGAAAATCAAAACTATAAGGAGAACTACTTACACCCACCAGAATGACTATAATCAAAGAGACAGACAATAAGAAGCACTGGCAAGGATGTAGCAAAACTGGACTCCTCAAACACCACTCATGGAACGTAAAATTGTACAGTCATTTTCGAATGAGTAATTCCTCACAAAGTCAAACATACATAGAATTACCCATAAATCAGCAATTCCATGCCTAGGTACATACCCAAGAGACTGAAAACACCTGATCACACAAAGACTTGTACACAAATTCATAGAAGCATTATTTATAATAGCTAAAAACTGAAAGCAATCCAAATGTCCATCAACTGGTAAATGGATAAACAAAATGTGGTATATTGTACGTACGGCACAATATTATTTGGCAGTGAAAAGGAATGTACTCATACGAGCTACAACATGGATAAACTTTAAAAACTTTATGCTATGTGAAAGCCAGACGCAAAGACCACATATTGTATGATGTCATTTACATTAAATGTCCAGAAAAGGCAAACCTATAGAAACAAAGTTTAGTAGTGATTGCCTGGGCCTGGGTAGGAATAGGGAGTGCCTGCAAATGGGCATCTTTTTAGAGTGATGCAAATTTTCTAAAATTCGAATGTGGTAATACTTGCACAACTTTGTAAATTTTCTAAAAAATCATTGAGTTGTAGCCTTAAAATCAGTGAATTTTATGGTATGTAAATAACACCTCACTAAAGCTATTAAAAATAGCTATGAAACCACAAAGCAGTTTTATGTGTAATTCTGGCTTTTAAATATCTATGACTACCAGACTTTTTATTTATTTATTTATTATTTATTTTATTATTTTTCTTAAAGATTTTATTTATTCATTTGAGAGAGTGAGGGAGAGAGAGAGAGTGAGGGGGAGAGAGAGAGAGAGAGAAAAAGAATGAGTGGGGGAGGGGCAGAGGGAGAAGGAGAAGCGACAACCTGCTGAGCAGGGAGCCCCACACAGGCCTTCACCCCACGACCCATAAGATCATGACCTGAGCCAAAGGCAGGCGCTTAACTGAATGAACCACCCAGGTGCCCCTATAAGACTTTTCTAAGTTAGGTCAGCCCCAATTCCCAAAGATAATGTGGCAGAGGCTCCCAAATCTTGAAAAACAATCCTAAATTAATATTATGGTTCTATGAATAAATAGATCAAATGCATTAGTGACTGGCACCTATTAGGCCTCAGTAAATGTTTACTGGATGAACAATTAAACAATCTTCCCGGCATGATTTTTCTCTCCAAATACCTCATACACCTGATACCTGAAACTCAGTTACTTAGGGCAATTTTTTTTTTAAACTAAAGAAAACTTAAATAAATGCAATGTCCCCACAGGAAAACCTGCTAACAGTGGGGTGGGCAGGATTTGATGGGCTAAAATGAGGTAACATATTAACTCCTTCATGCTACTGACTCACTTGGTTTAGGAGTAGGGCTTGGGGAGTGGGAATGTGTGATTCACAGAGTGACTCAGAGATCCAAGCTGACCAAGCTTTAACGAGCAGGAGTCAGGGCAGACCAAGAGATTGGAAATCTGTGGATGAACTTTTCACCACCATTGGCCAGAAGTGACACAAGCCACTTGTGCTAACATTTCTTTTTTTCCCTGCGCTGCAGAGGGCTAGGATATACAGGGGAGTAAAGAGATATTTGAGTAGATTTGATGAGCATTGCAGCCCACCACATCAGTCATCTGCAGCAGGGGACCCTGTCTCAGAGTTCTTTGCCAGAACCAAAGATTCCTCCTTCTGGGTCCACCTAAGTAAGAACCACTGATCAACAACTTAGGATCCTTTGAAGCAAGTTTTGAGTCAGGAGACAAACACCTTGCTTGGTGTCTCTGAAGCACTCTGCTTTTTTGGGGGGAAGCTAATCCTTGATTCACTTTTATTTGCCCAACACTAAGGAAAGTATCTGGTACATGGTGGCAACTCACTGAGTGTATGTAATTTAGTTTCATCTCAGAGAAACAGGTCAAGTGAAAGCCTACCGTCCGAGTAAGAACTCCTCCCATCCTACCATGGCGTTCTTCAAACATAAGGTTGTTTTTTTGCTCTTGTTGTTGTTGAAATTCCTTCAATTCAGTTAGATAGAACCAAGAAACACACTTAAATCCTGAGGCAAAAGGAGCAAGAACGGATCCAAGGTAAATAAATAAGAATCATGGTTACTGTGTTAACTGCACCACCACTACCACCACACTTAGTAAAATTTGTATTTGTACCACTAAACAAAAAAATAAGCTCAATGCTTTAGAAGAATACAAGGCAATGCCTTAACATTTGTTAGTCCACCATGGGAAAGGGAAGTTACTTGGATAAAATCTCTTATGAGGCTGTGACCAATCTGTAGTCCATTATTTACAGTATTTAATCCTTTAATTTCCAGTCTCTGTTCTTGGAACCACCTTAATTTACATTATCAGTTTAATCTTTTCCCATTACTACTTTCATTAGGTCTCACTCCTGCTGAAAACCCAGGACCAAACCCTTTAATTCTGGCAATTTTGACTCATGTAACTTCTTACATCCCTTTTGCCTTAAACAACAACAACAACAACAAACCAAGGCCCCAAAAGTCTGTGCTGCAGTCTGAGCCAATTATTTTTTAAGCTTGCACATATTTGCTAACAACTCATCCACTACCTGGGATGCCACATCCCTTCTTTTCGATCTAATGAAATTTCGCCTATTGCTCAGGACTGAATTGGTTGTAAGCTCACTGTGAAGCTCGCCCTGAATAGTTCAGCTCACACTGACCTACACTCTTGAAGCACCTGTGGTCTACAATAGGCATCTATGCATCAAGAACTGTCCAGAAGGGGCACCTGGGGGCTCAGTGGGTTAAGCGACTGCCTCAGCTCAGGTCGCGATGCTGGAGTCCTGGGATGGAGTCCCACATCGGGCTCCCTGTTGGGTGGGGAGCCTGCTTCTCCCTCTGGCCCTCCCCCCTCTCATCCTCTCTGTCTCTTCTCTTAAATAAATAAATAAAATCTTAAAAAAAAAAAAAAAGAACTGTCCAGAAGTTTTGACTTAAATGTTTTGAGCCTCATTTTCCCAGCTAGAGTATGAGCTTGAGGGACTTAATTTTATTATTTTATATCCCCATATAACAGAAGCCATTCAAGAAATATTTATTGTATATCTACTATAAGTTATGCCCTGTAGAGATATAGATGTGCCACTAAGTATATTTGTTAGTTAAATTAATACCTGAAGAATCTTTAAGATGCTGTATTTTGGAATTTTATATTGGGCCGAGTCCTAAAAAAGTATTATGCTGCTATTTCAAATATGTTATTCTTGTTTATCAATATTTTCCTGAACTTTCATGTTTTAGTTTTAATGAAAATCTCATTTTGAAAATATAAATGGATTTCTTTTTTGAGAATTTATCCTTACATTAATTACCTACTGATTCTGCTTCATATAACAGTATTGTGTTTTCCTTGGTCATTAGCAGATTTGTCTCTGAATTTCCTAATCTACAAATATACATAATTTGGATCCAAAGTTGATTCTAACTTTCTTTTCTATCTTCTGATAGATGAATTGTCTATTATGCTAGGTATAATATACAAAAATACCCATTTCACTTAAAAATTACAATAATATGACTAAGTGTCCCTTTAAATTCGTATTAATGCAACAACAACAAACCACGGCTTTTTAGGGTATATAATAATCTAATTATTCTTATTACCTTGTTCCCTTTACCATTCAAAAATCCAGATTATTTGGAAATAACATTCTTCCAACCTCACCCTAAAAACACTTTCTGAAAACTCCTCTTCCTGCCACTCTTAGATTATCCTGTACGTTAAATTCTCCTTTGACGCTTATTCCTTCAAAACTATCGAAAAACCGGAAAAGTTTCTTTAACTCTCAAATCTCTGTGTCGTAAAATCCTTTGTTAAATTTACCCCGTACGCAGGAGAGGTTCTCCGTTTCCTTTTCCAGCGAATTACACAATTGTCTCGGCAGCCTGATTTGCCAGTTTGGTTCCCGCTGTATCAGTTTGTGATTCTTTGTACAAATTAATAACCATGAAAAAGTCTAAAGCAGGGCAGTTCCAGAGTAAATTACAGCAGTCTTTTCCCGTAAAGCAACCTGGTACTTCACCAAACTCCAGGCGAAGAATGAATGATAGAGCATGCACCAATAGGGAGTGGAGAACAGTATTTTGTCGAAGTTTGCAACCCAATCCTGGGGAGCCAGAGGTGGGAATTTTAAAATGGGGTTGTTTTTTCCTTGGAATTTTCTTAAAGTGGTATCACTGCCTGTTGATGTTAAAGTTTGTCAAAGATTGCAAAATCGCTAGCTTAAAGAATTTTGAGTAACTGTTTTGAGTGAAGCAAGATGTGAAAATAGACACACATTCAAATGGCTATTCTGACACATAGAATCACTTGGCTATTTTTGTGTTAGTTTCAGGGGCCTAGAAGTTATTGTAAGATGTTTCATTTTTTATGATCAAACGTCAGATGTTAAATTAATGCGTTAAAATATTTCATGTTTTTAAGAAATGAAAACTACGTGGCTAACATTGATTGCTTTAAAAATTTGTCATTCTATTGTCAATCATTTTGGGAGTCACTTTCCAATATTAGGAGCAAGTTTTATTATTTGGATCGATCCTTAACACCCTATTTTTGCTTTTACACAAACTGTAGGTTTCCTCATTATAAGCCTAGCAAAAAGTTCTTAAGTACTAGAAATTCTTAGGTATTTAGAAATGTGTATCAAAGTTCTTAGAGCTACATGACATTCCCCATGCCATATACTTCAGTAACTTCTGAAGACCAGGTTTAATGAACAGGAAATTAGTATTTCATTATAACTCGTATCTTGTTTTGGAGTAGGTGTTATTCTTATTTAGTATAACTCTGCTTTTTAGATTATTCATCTCTAACAGTAATTAAATAAACCAACGGGAAACTAGTAATAAAGTCAAGGTTGCTTGACAATGCTTCGCTAATAAATTAATCAACAGCAAGCTTTTCAAAGAACAATGACAGCAGTTTGAGAGGAAGTTTAAAAAACTCATTTCAGAAAGTTGCCATATTAACAAAATATTTAAAAAATAAAATTGTTTTTAAAATGTTCCCTAACAATGTTTGGAATTCTTTTCTTTTTATCAGCATAAAGCTCTCTTCCTTTGATGTCTCCTTCCGCTGACATAGGAATTTTCGTCTTGAAGAAATATTTGACGGCCTACTCAGTCATGCTAGGAACTGAGGTAATATTTAACTAAGCTGTTATTGTCCTTTTAAGCGATCGTTTCTCACAATAGACCTCAGGTATTTCAAGAGTAGAGACTAGATTACCCGCCTCATCGTTGGAACAAACCTGTCAGCGCGCACAGTGAGCCCTTAAATCCTATGCTTAGGCTCATCACCTGATACTAACCTTGGCCATATTACAAACCCACCAGACCTCAGCTTTTCACTCACTAAACGAGTATAATAATAGTACCTGTGTCATGAGATTGCTGTGAGGATTTAGTGAGAATATGCATAGCTCTTAGAACATTGCCTGGTACACAATAAGCGCTCGGGTGTTATTGTTGTGGTAACTCCCCAATGTGTACAATGAATGAGAGCGGGAGTGCCTGAATGAATGTATGAATGAAAGAACACATCAGTTATTGGCAATGCCTGAGGTTGGAGGGGGCTAAACGGCCCCCACAAAGAGCAAAGCAAAAGACTGCGAACAACATAGTAAAACTCCAGCCGCAGCCGGAAGCCAATGTTGAGCGGGGGGCGAGGCCAGTCTGGAGGAAGCCGCGCTCTTGGCCAATAGGCACATCGCTTGGAAAACGAACTTCTCGTCCGTGCAGTTTTGAAACCGCGAGAACAGGGACGACTTATCGCGATGCTCCGTCTTTCTCTCCGCAGCTCCCTCTGCCCCCACTCTCCGTCGTGCGGGTTCCGCCCCGTCCCGCCCCGCCCCTCGCCGTCCGCGCCTCGCCCCGCCCCCCAGGCTCCCCGCCCCTCCCGCAGACACTCGGCTTGCAGTCCAGCGCCGCCTGCCCCCGGAGCGCTGGCTCTGCCGGCGCCGAGGTGAGTGCGGCCGCCTGTCGTGTCGGTGGCTCGCGAGGCTAAGGGCCCCCCCTGGCCCGGCCCCCGGCCAGCACGCCGGGTCCGGCAGAAGCGTCGGGGCAGCGGCGAGTGGTTCCTGGCCCGAGCGGGCCCGTCCCGGCCTCGGGTCGCCATAGCTGCCGGGCCCTCCCCGCCCTCCGTGGCCGGAGAATCCCGATACCGGGTCTGTGAAATCCCTGCCACTGGGCTCGCTGCTTCCAAACCGTAACGACCTTAGTGTTTGGTTAACTCGGGCAAAGCGGCAGGTGTTTTGCTTCAGACTTACTGAGAAAACAACCTTTTACAAATGCTTTTAGTGTACAGTTTTTAATTCTCTAATCTCCAATGTTAGGAAATTGGAGTGGGTGTTCTACTGAATTAAATACGGAAGTCAGTTTGAGGGTCTTTCCTTTTACACACACCTGCTTAAAATGTATGGGATTTTCTTAGGGTGGGAGGGTTTGTTTTAAACAATAGAGTGGCTTGGTGTTTACATGTCAGAAAACTTGTGGAGGTTCTGTTGAATATGTTCAGTTAATATTGTTAAGTATACCATTTATCTTTAACTGTAGATAAGAGGTAGTGAAGGAAATTTATGTAAGAAAATTACCCATCCTGGTAGGGGCTGTATATTGCCAATGAATGCGTTTTGGAAAACCATTAGCATTATTTATTATTGGCAGCTTTCAGATTTCATTTGTGTAGATTTTATCTCCCAAACTGCCTTGGTAGCCAGATGCATTTTAACAGGGTGTAATGATGTTTTAAAGGCAGCCGATTCCCAGCCGTCAGGATTCAGAAGAAAAACAATTAGGTTACACCAAATTCTCTTCCTGGATCTGCCATCAATGAGTGTGGATTTTGGATATAGTTTTGCTTTGTAGTCTTACATTTGTATAAGCTTCGCCTACCACTTAAATGATGATGGGGAGAAACACAGGCCCCATTGAAGTGCCTGAAAGCCTATATTGTAAGGCAGGGCACCGGCTTTGGAGTTGGTCCACCTGGGTTACAGTTCTGGCAAGATACCCTCTGAGAAACTGCTTCCTTATCTATGAAACAGGCTAAATACTGTCTATCACAATGCAGAGTTGTATGGATTAGGGATCTTTATGGTCCATAGCAAGCACTTGGGATATAGTATCTACAAGATGACCATAGATTACAGAGTGAAAAATATTTACCTTGTATTACATGTCCTACTTTCATCAGCTGTTTGAGGGCCTGCTTTGTGCTAGATATTGTGCACAGGCAGGTATACAAGAGTGAAGAAAGCAAGATCTCTGCCCTCAGGAGCTTACAGCCTCTTGGCTAGTTTGACAATAGATGGGTACACCAATAAATATTTAGATTACAGATTGGGAGGAGTCCTACATATAAAAGAAATAGGTTTCTCTGAAAGAATAACCGGAGAATAGTTTTGGATAGGGAAGTGATTTTTACTTAGAAACTCAAAGTTGACGGGACAGTGCTTTCCAGGCTAAAAGGAGACCAGCAACTGGTATGAAGAGTTTAACTCTTAAAAGAGACTGGAAGAAAGGCCCAGAAAAGCCCAGGAGCTTGATGAGAAGCCAGGGAGGGTGCTGCCGGATAAGGCTGGAGAGGTGCATGGGGCCAGACTATGAGGATCCCTCAGTGCCTGATGAGAGTTTGATTTTCTAAAAAAGCTTTTGAAGGCTGTATTTAGTTGATATGTGTGCACTAGGGAGTTTACCCGAGAGAGGTATGGGATTTACATTTTAAAGGCTCCCTGCCAAGTAATTAAGGTATTAGAATATGACTAGAGTGGCACCAGGAGACCAGTAATACAGATGGCCAGGCAGGAGATGACAGTGGCTTTTGGCTGGAGGGAAAGATGTCGATGGATTTGAGATGTATTTTGGAGCTGGAAACCACCAGCTTTAAGACAAATTGGAGTGCGCAGGTGAATGACAGGATGGAATCATTGATGACTTCCAGCTCTTCGGCTTACACAGCTAGGCGGATAGAGGTGTGTGCCATTAATTGAGATGAGAAGCACTGGGGAGAATTCGGATTGGTGATGCAGATAAAATGTGTTAAGTTTGAGGCACTTGTGAGACTTCTAACCTTCAAGTTTACTACTTGAGTGAATTGTAACCCAGGAAACTTCTCTTTCCACATAGAATCATTGATATTATTTCTAGTTTAGTTCCCCTTTGCTTTACAAGTGAGAGAATTAAGATGTAGAAAGATTGAGTATGTTGCTCAAAGTCACATATGTCTCATAAAAATAGGTAGGTGTGTAGGTAGAATCAGTATGGGAAAGTTTTGAATTCTCATGTTGCATTGGGAATATTATTGACTATCCCATGTTGTCTGCTCTTTTAGATAAAATGGCAAGTCCTTATTAGCTAGGAGTTGGAGTTTGGAAATAATAGAAAATAACCAAAAAAGTTATCAAAACTGCTTCTCAAAAGCTTGTTACTACATTTTGCACTAACTTGGTGTTAATTCCCAGTGAAAATAGTTTTTCTTAAAAAAAAAATTCTGTTTGAAAGGTACTTTCTATTGGGGAGTTTGAGAAAGGATGCCCAGAAAAATGAGTAGAGTCATTGAACAAAGCTCAACTTTTTAGTGTTTTCACATTTCCTTAGTATCCTGTGGAGTCCTTTGAGTCTATGTATGTAAAGAACCCAGGCTTTAAAATCACTGGACAGCCTCTTTACCCCAAGGGGGAAAGAAATCCTTGCTTTTATCCCTTATGAGCTTTTTGACCTTGGACAAATTATTGAAGCTCTGAGTTTGTTTCTTCTTACGTTAAGTGATTGTGAATGAAGTTTGTTTCTGCTTTGTGCCTAGCTGATAAGATGGCAAATGTTATTTCTCTTCCTACCCTGTCACTTTCAGAGCTAGGAGGGAATTTAATCTGTTCTGGGTTCTGGCCTTTACCAATAAATTGCTATCTCCATTGCTTTTATGTTAGGCAACTGAGGCCTGGAAAGATTGTAATAATACAAGGTTCTTATTTCCTAGTCAGTATTTCT